ATTTTGCTGGTTTTCCTCTTAAGGCCTTCTTTTATGGCATCTTAAGGAGTTGTTCTTCCTGTTTTCTTCATTGTCTGACCATACACTCAGGGGGGAGGAGGTCCAAATTGTTTCTCTGCAGCTCTGTTTCCAGGCTCTTTTGCATAACTGATTACATTCAGTTTGAATTTTGCAGAATAAGACAATCGCTTACTGGTATTTATCTTTTTATTTTTTGACATCTTTATGGGCTCAGAACACTCTGATCCCCATTGCACCTCGCACTCTCCACCTCCTCCTCTAATTACAGCATCAGCTGACATCAGTAACAATAAGGCTTGTGATTGGAGGAAGCCTGTTGAACAAGGTATGGGCAACTACACACCTCAAGGCTCCCTCTTCGGCTGACTTCCATGTATAAGACCCTTTGTTTTCAGTCTAATGATTTTAGAAAAAAAATAGTGCCTTATACACGGGGAAAATAAAATATGGTATGTCCCCTGTTTCCCCGCATTGACCTCTTCTAGCCCTCCCCAACCACCCGCCCCAGGCCTTCACCACCCTATTGTCTGCGTCCACGGGTTATGCATATATGCATACTAGTTCTTTGGTTGATCTCTTCCCACCTACCCACCCCTGCCTTCCCTCTGAGATTCAACAGTCTGTTCTATGCTTCTATGTCTCTGGATCTATTTTGTTTGTCAGTTTATTTTGTTAATTAGATTCCACATATGAGTGAGATCATGTGATAGTTGTCTTTCTCTGACTGGCTTCCCATCTCCAGCTACCATTGCACTGGGCATTAACATATGAATGTTGGTGGACACAAACATTTGGTCCATAGCAGTTTCTGATCTATCATGTACTAAAAGAGCTACATTGAACTCTTCCACCATGATTTTGGATTGCTCAATAAATCTTGTAATTCTATCAATTTTTAATTTATATATTTTGAAGCAATTAAATAAACTTTTTTGATATTTTTTTCTGGTATCTGCAAAGTGTTTCATTTTTTTAATTAAAAAAATTGTTATTGTTGGACATATTACATACTGTATTTTTCCATGTATAAGACACCCCCATATATAAGATGCCCCCACTTTTCCAACCCCAAATTAAAAAATCAATATTTTAAACATTTTGCTGGTTTTCCTCTTAAGGCCTTCTTTTTTGGCATCTAAAGGAGTTGTTCTTCCTGTTTTCTTCATTGTCTGACCATACACTCAGGGGGGAGGAGGTCCAAATTGTTTCTCTGCAGCTCTATTTCTATGCTATTTTGCATAGCTGATTGCTTAATCTATAAACACTTCTTTTCTTAAATTTATCAAACCACACCCTACTAGCCTCAAATGAATTTTTCATATATCACTGCCTCTGAAATCTATCACTGGCTAGTTACTTTTCTTTTATCCAGTAAACAACAGTTTTTCTACCTATTCAATTGTCTGTGACTGTTGTTTTGTGAGTACTTTTACACCCTTACCAACATTAGCACCCTTGTTTTTTTTTTTTTTAACAGCACTCTTGATGGCCTCTTTAGGTTTTTAAAGTTGTGCTAAGCTTTCATTTCTCCAGCAGCAAATGCATTCTCTTCTTTGTTGCTTGAGAGAGACTTTTGTTATGCTGAGATGGAAAACTGAAGTTTTGGTCGATGACTGAGACATTTTTTTCTGTGAACAACTTGGTCAAGAACTGAATTGTTTGAGATGAGAGACTTTCAAGAAACAGGTTTAACTGTGTTCCTAGAAGTGGGATCACTAGGTCATATGGCAGTTCCATTCTGAGGAAACTTCACATGTTGCTTGAGAGACACTTTTGTTATGCTGAGGTGGAAAACTGAAGTTTTGGTCGATGACTGAGACATTTTTTTCTGTGAACAACTTGGTCAAGAACTGAATTGTTTGAGATGGGAGACTTTCAAGAAACAGGTTTAACTGTGTTTCTAGAAGTGGGATCACTAGGTCATATGGCAGTTCCATTCTGAGGAAACTTCACACTATTTTCCATAGTGGTTGTATCAGTCTGCATAGCCACCAGCAGTGTACTAGGGTTCCTTTTTCTCCACACCCTCTCCAGCACTTGTTGATTTATTGAGGTAGCCATTCTGGAAGGTGTGAGATGGTATCTTATTGTCATTTTAATCTGCATCTCTCTGAAGATTAGTAACATTGAGCATTTTTTCATATGTCACTTGGCCATTTGTATGTCCTCTTTGGAGAAGTTTCTATTCAGGCCCTCTGCCCATTTTTTAATTAGATCACTTATTTTCCTTTTGTTGAGTTGCATGAGTACTTTATAAATTTTGGAAATTAACCCCTCTATTTAAAAAAAACTAATTTTTTTAGAGAAGTTTTAGGTTTTCAGCAATGTTAAGAGGAAGGTTTACCAATTTTCCTGTCTACCCTTGCCCCCACACATGTATAGCCTCCCTCATTATCAACATCACTTACTGGTATGGTGCATTTGTTACAATTGATGAATCTACTTGATGCTCACCAAAAGTCCATAGTTTGCATTAGGGTTCACTCTTGGTGTTGTGCATTCTATATGTTTCTTAGGATATCCAGTGGAAACTTGGTTCTCAAACCTAAGGCTGTTTGAGAAGTGATTTGTTCGAAAACCGAATCATTTTTCCCATTAGAAATAATGTAAATTGAATTAATATGTTCCAGACCCCCCAATGATTTCTTGTTTTAAACTTTCTTACATATAGTAGTACATGTTTAATGTACTGCTTAATCTATAAACACTTCTTTTCTTAAATTTATCAAACCACACCCTACTAGCCTCAAATGAATTTTTCATATATCACTGCTTCTGAAATCTATCATTGGCTAGTTACTTTTCTTTTATCCAGTAAACAACTGCTTGCATACTTTTCAATTGATCATTCCTGTAAAATTTACTTAAAACACCTCTAACAAATACCTTCCTATGAATACGAGAGCATTTCTCTAAGGTAGATGAAAAGAAGTGGAATTTGTGGGTCCTAGGATATGTGCATCTTAAACTTTTATAGCTAGTAACAAATTGCTGAATAAAGTAAGTGTGTATATTAATTTATCCTAGTACTTAATGACAATATCCATTTCACTCTGGTCTAACCAATGTTGAATGTTATCCAACTCTATATTTTTCTAATTTCTGCAATATTAGCTTCTTGTATTAATTTCAGTATTCTTGATTACTATGTCTATGCATTTTTCTTTTTCTGTTAATGACCTATAATTTTCTAATATATTTATAGCATTTTATCATTGCAATTTAAAAATTACTTTAAATTATGGATTAATCTCTTATTAACATTAAAATATTTTATATTGTCTTCAGGCTTTATTAATGGTGATCTTTATCATCCAGAAACTTTAAGTAGTAAAGCTTGTTAGTTTTTTCTATGCCTTTGGATTTTGATTAAAGGTATGTTGTTAATGAAATATTAAATTGTGGCCTCTAGTTTCTTTTGAAATTTCCCATATGTTCATACATGTTGCCCCTTTTCCAGGAGAATGGGGTTTCTCAACTTTGGGGTAACAGAAGAGAACATGACATTTCCTGTTAAAAGCTATTCTCTTTACACCTTATATGTTTTTGTAGACATTTTCTAGTTATTTATTTTATTTTATTATTATTATTTTTAATTTTTTATTACAAAGGGTATTACATATGTGTCCATTCCCCCCCCCCCCCCGCACCACC